CTTGTGTGTCACATTGGGACGATGTGGTTATAGTAAGAAGGAAACCATGGAGACGGTTGGGATAATGCAACGGAAGACCTGGAGGTTCAACTGTTGGGTCGAGGTCAGACCTGGTACTCAGTGTTAAAAAGGGATACGAGGGATGCAGCTGAGGCTTATGATTTTAAATGTCTGAGGACTTCTGAGCGAGCATGATTTCCTTGTGGCAGAGAACAGGATGTTGAAAGTTTATTGATCGGATGGATTCTGATAGTAGTTCAGTGGATGAGCCCTGGTGGGATGTGAACCCTTTCGTTCCTTGGGGCGTGATTCAGACTGTTTTGTTACGTTGGTACGAGTGATCGGTAGCCGATTGTTGGATTTTGTCTTGTGAGAATCAGCGGATCAGTGAGTTATCTGGGTTGATGTTCGAGGAGCGAATATCATGGTGATAGCATGAGTGGGCGGTCTGGCGGCGGGCCAGGCCACTAGAGTTTCCCGATTATGGGAAGGTCAGAAAGGGGTATTTTAGCGACAGAGGGGCCGGTTTTGTTTCAAATTTGGAGTTCCTGGTCGGATCCAGGTATTCATGGAGAAAGATATCGTTTTGGTGTGAGAACCTCACAGTGGTGCTTTTCAAGTGTTTGGTTTCTATCTATGTGATTTGAGGAGCGATGTCGAGGGCGAAATCTATTTCAAGTAGGGGAGAATTGTAACACCCGGATTTCCAGGTACATTATTTTAATTAATTATTTTTGAGGATCGTTGATCTACTCGGCGAGTCGGTGCTATAACTTGTCGAGTAGAAGCGGGATGGCCATGTAAGTTTAATGAACTACTCGACGAGTCCAAGAGTAGACTCGCCGAGTAGGCGCTGTGGGTGGAAACCCTAAATCCTCGGGCCTGTGCTCTATTTAAGGGACCTTATGGCCCTCATTTGCGGCTACCAGTCCAGAGAGAGAAACCCTAGAGAGCTTGGGCGAGTTGTGTGTGAGAGCAAGCCATTTTAATCCTTTTTTGTGTTGTTTTGCAAAGAAGAAGGTGTTTCCAGCTAGAGGAGGTCAAGAGGATTGCTAATCCGTGGTTTTCAAGCTTGGATCTGCAGTATTGAGGTAGCAAATCGAACTCTCCTTCTGTTTTGGTTAAGATCTATGAATCTAGGGTTTTCTATACCCTTTTTGTGGCTTGAATCGATGAGTTTATGGTCCCTTTATGTGATAGACTTCATATCTGGACCCATAGAGGTCCAGAGAGCATTATCCATCTTGCTTTATGAAGTGTTATGGAAGAAATGATCTTAGGTTGCCTTATTAGAGATGATTTCACCAAAGAGAGCCCTATGTGTGTTGCATGAGGTGTAAAGGTCGGACCTTTACGTGATTATTGTAGATGGGGAGGGCAGATCTATAGATTAGAGAAGCGGATCTGACCTCAGAAGGTCATTTGAGTGTTGCCATGGACGCTACTCGTCGAGTTCATAAGTGGACTCGACGAGTCGAGTCGGGGTTGCCCCGCGATTCGTGACAGGTGTAACCCGTCGAGTGAATGGATGACTCGACGTGCCAAGTGAGGCTAGAAGGATTCTGAGGACCCACATGGACTCGCCGAGTCGCCCATGTGCACTCGACAAGTCGGGTCAAAGTTTGACCATTGACTTCAGTTGACCTTAGGGTTTTGGTCAAGCTGATTCAGGAGAGTTCAGGGAGGGGTAGGATGGCCTTCTACCCAATCTTTAGAGATGAGGCTATGAGAGGGTATTGATCAGGAATGTTATTCGGATGATAGGAGGAGGCTAGGTCGGGACGTCAAGCACGAGAGTTTATACGACTTCGTACGAGGCGAGTCTTCTCACTATACTGTACCTAGATTGGTACCTATATGTGACCGGAAGGTCTTATATGCTATGAGATGTATGTGATGTATGCTGTTATATGATATGGATATGTTATGTATGTTATGAATGCTAAGGACCGGAAGGTCATTATGATATGGACCGGAAGGTCAAGATGATATGGACCAGAAGGTCATTACGGGTAGGACCGGAAGGTCTACCGGGGTTGTGGGACGGAAGTCCTCTGAGACACAGTGACCGGAAGGTCTTATAGCCTTGAGTGGCGTATGTGCGTATGTGGTATTTTGGGGGAACTCACTAAGCATTTATGCTTACAGTTGTTGTGTTATGTGTTTCAGGTACTAGCGAGGATCGTGGGAAGGAGCCGACATGATCCGTACACACTCATGGAGTTTATGTCTTGAGATTCTGGGATATGTTTTGTTATGATAACATTGGATACATTATGTTTTGATATTACCTCAAGAATAAAAGTATGTTTTAAAAATGAAAAATTGTTTTGGAAATTTACGTTGTTACACACTTCAATACCTAAAAAAAGTCAGATTACCTAGATCCTTCAAAGAGAACATAAAATTAAGGTATTTGAAAAATTCATCGATGTATGAGAAATTAGAGCTTGTAATGATGAGATCATCAAGATTAATGAGGACATACACAACATCAGAACCATATCGTTTTATGAAGAGAGATGAATCTGAAATGCAAGGTTTGAATCCGTGTTGAATCGACGCCTTCTGTAACTTTTGAAACCAAGCTCTTAGAACTTGTTTAAGGCCATAAAGAGCCTTGTTAAACTTGCAAACATGTGTGGAACGATCATAAGCAAGAAATCCTTGTGGTTGATCCATGTAAACAGTTTCACACAGATCACTATCTAGGAAGGCGTTGTTGATGTCCACTTGACGAAGAGGTCAACTATGAGTGACAAAAATACTTAGAACAAGTCAAATTGTTGTAGGCTTGATAATTAGGCTGAATGTATCAAAATAATCAACACCTTCTTCTTGGCTAAATCCTTTTGCAACTAATCGTGCTTTGTAGCGTTCAACGGCACCATCAGGTTTCTTCTTAATCCTGAAAATCCACTTACAACCCGTAATATCAGGTTCAGAGGGTCTGGGAACAAGTACCCAAATCTTATTAAACATTAAGGCATCAAATTATAACTCCATTGCTTGTTGCCAATTAGGGTTCTTTGTAGAATGTAAGAAAGTTTTGTGTTCAATCTCAGAAGAGTCAAGTGGCATGGGATATTTAGTTGCAGTGAAAGATTTAGGCTTAAGGGAAGAGGTAGAGGTTCGAGTTACCATTACATGCTCAATCGTGGGAGGGTTTTTGTAACGCCTTAAATTTCAACCCAAAATTTTCAATTAAAAATTTAAGTGTTTATTCAATTTACAACTACAAACATCTTAGATAAAACCATTTAAGTCAAAACATTTATCAGAGTATCCTCAAAAGTTATCATGTGCACAAATCTCTCATAGATGCGATGCAATCAAGTCGTGCCCCTCATTTGATATAAGAAACCTGAAATCATTTATTGTAAGCACAAAGCTTAGTGAGTTCTCCAAAATACCACATACAACACATCACAAATAATAAATATGCATTATCAACAACCCTGGAGACTGCCTGAAGTCTAAGTGGGCAGACAACACGCCCTGTAGGTTATCGAAAACCCTGGAGACTACGCGATGTCTCAGTGGGCAAACAACATACCCTCTGGGTTATCAGCAAACCTGGAGACTACCCGAAGTCTCAATACACACAATAACACAAATCACGGTAACAACAAATAAGACCCAGTTGGTCAACACGAATATATTGTTGGATTAAGGTGTCTAAGCCAGTAACTAAATTGGTATATTCTTGTAATTAAAAGAAAAATCTATTTTGGGTTGCCCTCAAAACTAGTATTCGGATAAAATGACTTTTAGAGGAAGAGGCTGAATTTCTAATTTATTATATGATTAATAAATTATAATAAATAGTTTATTAATATATTATATGATTAATATTAATAAGAAATAATAATAATTAACTTGGAATTAATTAGAAATTAATTTGAATTAATTTTGGGATTAATTGAATTGATTAAAAATACAGGGAATGTTTAGTTATTTATTGAAAATTGAAGCAGGAAAACTCTAGAGCATCATGGGATGGGGGTGAATGAAATTTGGCTAGGAATAACCTAGAATTTTTGTTCATGAGGCTTAGGATAAGGAAATAAGGCAACTTGATTATTATATTAATTGATCTGGGCCTTATCTCAAAAACCTAGCTTTGGCCTCAAGTTTCATTCAGCTATATAAACCCTTTCCTGATTCTTATTATTTTCGTCCACTCCTTCTTGCCTTTATAGAGCCGAAATTTTGCTCTAGCCTCCTCTCTTCTCAAGTCTTCTTGCTACTAGGGTTTTGGGTACAAGCCATTAGAGGCATCCATTCCTTTGGTGCTAGCTTTTCAAGATTTTAAAGAAGGATTCTAGTTTGATTATTTGCAATAATAATCAAAAGGTATGTAACCCCAATTTTATGTGAATTTTGATTTCATAGCCTCTCTCCTAGGATTTCTTGATATTCATAGTTACTTGCTATCAATAGGGAAAACATAGACCCTTTCTAAGGTGTATGTGAACTTAAGGGTCTAAGTGTTTTTCCATCACATGTAAAGCTTTATAACCTAGATAACCCATCAGTGGTATCAGACCCATAGTTTTCTGTTGATTGTGCGTAAAATGAATAGATCAAAGAATTAGGGTTTATCGAAAATAAACCCTAGCCCATGAGATTTTCGACTTTGCTAGTGTTTCTTGAAACCCTGGCCTCCCTAACCTTATTTTTGAAAAATGAGGGGTTCCTTTAGGGTTTATCTTGTTTAGGGTTTATCTTGTTCCCTTAATTATTAAAATTTGAATAATTAAACCTGATAAACCAAACCCTAATTTTCGAAAATTAGAGAGTTAAGGATTAGGATTAAATTTGAATTATTTTATTAATTGTTTAATTGAAGATAATTATTTAATCCCTAAGGATTAAGATTATATTTGAATTATTTTACAATCCAAGTCGACTAGTCCTTAAACCAAGCCCGATCCATTAGAACCAATCTCACCACTAGCGGACTCAGGCCCAACCCCCAAGGCTCGTACCACTACGGAATGATAAACACCAGCCACATCATTGTTCTTCAAAGCTCTACGGGACAAGTTGGTGGAAAACAAAGATATGGAATCAACAGTGTGTCATTTAAACCATCTGATGACATCCAGCTAAAACTCGCAGATTATTTCAACATCGGAGGTGTTTTCCGCATCGGAAGCATCTCTGATAGACCCAATGGCGGCAGGCTTTATACAGACATGTTGGTCATGGGAGCTGATTACAGAGCTTTTGTTGAGATTGTATTTGAAAACCCTTCCGATATTGTTCTCAGTTATCATATCGATGGCTTCTTCATTGTCGGGTAAGTCATTGACTCTTTTTTTTGTTCTGAATTAGGTCAAATATGATATATGCTAATTTTGTTTATGAAAGAAAAAAGGATGGATGGAGGAGAATGGACACAAGCAACCAAGCAGGTTACAACCTTCGAGACGGAGTTGCACGGAGTACGATCCAGGTGTACCCAAAATCATGGTCGGCGCTTTATGTTTGACTTGACAACGTGGGAATGTGGAATGTGAGGACGAAATTTTGGGCAAGACAATACCCCGAAGAACATTTTTACTTACATGTGTACATGACTTCACGGTCGATTAGAGATGAATTTCCGATTCCAAAAAATACACGGGTGTGTAGGAAGGCCACAGGTCGCCATACACAGCCTCTTTGAGAAGGTATGGGGATTTGAGTTTAGAGATGTGTTTTTTTCCACATTCTAGAATTAAATTTATTTTGGGTTGTGTTTATATAATTCTTTCTAGTGGTGCTATGTTAGCACTATTTGAAAATTAGTTTTTCGGCTTCTTCTGTATTAATATAACTGTTTATGACCTTAACTCAGGGTCGCAATTCTTTTTTGTTTTTTTATATGAGTGTTTTGAAAGAAAGAATTCTATATTATTGTAATAAGAGAAATAGTTGTAAGAAAATTGTGATTCATGTTTATTACTTTTAACATTTTATTTGAGTTTGGAAAGTTTTTGTTGAAGGTGATCGTACTTAAGTTCTAGTAAGTAATAAGATTTTATATTTGTTTAGAAACCATTCATCCATCCAATACAAGGGCATTGAATAAAGAACCATTTCATTCGAAACAAGATATCCTTTGATCAAAAACTAGGATCGGATGACCACTTGGAAAAAGTTTAAAAACCTTATTTTTTGTTTATCAGTTGGTCTTCTCAAATTGACTGTTCCTATAAAATTGTCAGAATCTCAATCCTGATAATAATAGAATAGTATGATCCTACGATCGTAGGTATGAAAAACAAGTTGAATCGTATAAGTATTGTGTTGAATTACATTCAAGATCGTGAAATCATTTGTGGGATCACTATCTGATTACTGTCGCTTGAAATTTTTGAATTACTTTACCATGTCAGTCAATTTGATTCTCAAAAGTGTTGCCCTTGAAACTACCCTCCTTGGTTCCCCCCTACATCAACTCATGAAGACCATAATGGAGTGAAAATCTTCACGAAATCGACTAAAGCTTACAGTTGGTCAAAACTACTAAACTACAAGATTCGACTTCTCGAAAGAGGCGAGATTTAGAAGTAATTGTGATGACCTTGGATGTTATGGAAGCACATAAATGATGTAGTTTTTCAGGTTGGAAAAAACAAGCCGAATTTTAGTTTTTTATAGTATTGTCATGTATTCTTATGATTGCTTTTCGAATAGATATAGAAAATGTAACGTAACTTAGACATTGTGGTTACAAAACCCAATGATCTAAAACTCTTTGTTTTTTTCTTTTTCTTCCGGCTTCTTGTTAATTTGGTGGTTTATAAAATTCAATAGTTCAAAAAAAAATTGAGTACTGTTGATCGCCTATCAAGTAGGTTAGTCCCGATTTTTTCTTATCTGCTCATATTCTTTTCTACAAGTTAATAGAATGTTTTTTCTAGGTTAATAAAGTGTTTTTTGGATCAATTTTGACATTCTCCTCGCCTTTGGAAGTTAATGAAATGTTTTGATCAGATCAATTCCAACATTCCTCGTGACTTTGGAAGTTAATAGAATGTTTTGTCTGGTTAACATTTGTTTGGGATTTATTATTTAAAGTATGTGTTAGACTATACATTGAATTCCTATCCTATGGTAGGCATGTAACCTTGTGGGGACATAGTTTCTATGGGCATAACAAGACTAATTTTATGCGGTATTTGAGACTCAACCATATGTATCTAGACAAACATTCTATTAAGTGCATACAAAATTGAACTTTTAAGAGCAGTTAAAGCATTCCTTATATGGTAAGTCGGTGCATGTGATATAGCTTTGTGTCACAGACTAACTAAGTCAGAGTAACTTGAATTGCCAACACAAGATCAAGGAAAATAAGAATGCAACTCAACACTTGAAAGCTCTTTATAAGATCGGAAGAAATGAAATAAGAGAGCCCTATATATACATAAACAAGATGCTACTAGAAACTGAGAAACATTCTTCTAGAATGTTTCTAGAAGATGTCTCTTCATGAGCTTTGTATGATGTTTCTAAAAATCTTGTAGAAACTTTCTAGAAATTATTACTAGGCAACTAAAATATGTACAAAATATATCTAAATAAGACGGGTTTTATAGCATAGTTGATTTTATAGCATAGTTTTAGTTTAATAGTCTAAAGCATAGGTTAATAGTTTAAACTTTAAAGCATATGTTATATCATCATATGGTAAGTCTTGTACAAAATAAGATATGATAGCTTAATTTCCAAAATTCCATCCTATATCAGCCCTTTGCTATGCTTATGTTGCTTTAGTTAGACACATGTAATAGCAGCTAGAGGTGTTGTGTGGTTCTGGACTAATCTTTTGAAGGTGGTTCACGACTAATCTTTTGGGCTAACAATTTTAATGACGAAAAACTAAAAATTAGACAAAAAATAAATAAATAAATAAATGATATCTTATATTTTGGTCTTAGTGCATAAAGACACCATAATTATGTCATTTTTTTTGTAGAATTTTATGATCTTGTAAAACAAAAAACAATCATACTTAAAAATCCTGATTTTGACAACTTTAGTTTCAATTTCGATTTTGTTTTGTAATTTAGTTAAATAGTTATGTGAAGAAAACCTAAAGATATTTAATGATTTATAACTTAATACATAGATTCACACATTTTCATTTTATCCCCTTTGACCATGAGAGTCCACTTGCACTTTACCAGAACAAGAAGTGTTTAAATTCTCAATCAAATGGACATCAATGGATCCATATCCAACCAAAATAAGTAATCACTAAAACACTTTTTTATTCTAAATTATCATCGTGTAAATTTAGAAATTCTATTTCATAGAATAAAAACATATATTTAGTGTTGGGTTTGACAAACAAATAAAGTTGATTTGGATAAGGTTTATCATGCAAAAAAAAAAGTGTACATCTTTAAAAAAAATTATAGTTAATAAAAGTTAAAAAAATGTATCATTTTCAAAACCGTAATTTGATATGGTGTCGAACAGAATTTAAGTTTTAACCAAAAGTATAGACATACACACACACACCACACATGCCATGTGCTTTCCTAGTCTTTTATATGCCAATAAAATAATAATCTTCGGTGAAGCATTCAGAATAATAGCTACAAACTTAAAATGAATATGTTTAAAGATTAAGAAATAAGAAATAAGAAATAAGAACCCCTTCCATTCAGACAAATCAATCAATCAATCCAGGTTGCTCCAACCACCTTTGCCATGAACCCATACGAATCTGCCCATTCATCAATCTGCAAAAAATAACCTCGGTTATTTTTTCTAATAAAGGACCAATTTTGAAAAACTCAGCTATACTCAGGGACCAAAAATGTAACTTGCTCTACTTTTTATAAAAAAAAAAAAAAAAAAAAACATACCACTTTCTTTGTAGGGCGGCCGGATCCATGGCCAGCTTTGCAGTCAATTCTACCAAGAATGGGGTTGGTCTGTGGGCTATTCTCCAAACTTGTGCACAACACATATTGCATCGTCTAACATAAAACAAATATAATAAACAAATATGCATTTAATTAAATTAAATTAAACATAATTGAAATGAAAAAAAAAAATGAAATACTTACTGCTAATAATTTCAAAGTGTGCAAGGGGACAACTCTGTCATCATGATCAGCTGTCAACAGTAAAGTTGGAGGGTATTGTCGGGAATTATCAGAAGATTGCTCCCATGGTCTTTTCACATTATGTAGTGGCGAATACCTGATGAAAATGAAAATAAATTTTAATTATTAGTAAAAGAATATTAGAAGTTTGACAATTTAATTAGGATAAGATAATGTTGAACTCACTTGATTAACCATTGGAACTCTTCTTCTTTGTCTGAACAGCCATAGTCAGAAGTCCACGCATGACCTACCACAAAAAGAAAACAAAAACCATGACACAAGGGTATAATTGTAATTTTAACTAAATTAGTTAAAAAAAAAAACAAAATTACTCACCGATTGTGAACTTGTGAAACCTGAGCATGTCCATTACACCAACATGAGCAAGTGCACATCCAAATAGATCAGGCCTCTGTCACAACAAAAAAAAAAAACTTTTAGGAATAATTTAAATTAAAAATTTTAATATTATTGAATTAGCATAATACCTGATTAATGCAAGCTCCAACAAGTAGGCCACCATTGCTTCCACCTTCAATTGCCAATTTTTTAGGGTTTGTATACCCTGAAGACACAAGATATTGAGCACTAGAAATAAAATCATCAAAACAATTTTGTTTGTTTGAAAGGGATCCATCTTTATGCCATTCTTCACCATATTCTCCTCCACCACGAATGTTAGCCACACAGAAAACTAAACCTAAATGCCTCATGAGCACAATTCTACTCACACTAAAATATGGTGTCAAACTAATATTAAATCCACCATATCCATATAGCAAACATGGATGTGATCCATCTAAATCTATTCCCTTTTTTGCCACTATGAACATTGGTATTTTTGCACCATCTTTACTAGGTGCAAACACCTGAAACAAGAAACAAAACCCATCAATAATATATAATACACTTACAATGTCTTTTACAAATAATAGCAACATACTTATGTTTTTAATTTTTTTTACTGGTAATAGCAATATGTAACAAATAAAGTACAATATAGAAAATAAAGCACATAGCTTTTATTGATAGAAAATGTATCTATGTTACTATTAGAGTAAATTACACGATTGGTCCTTGTGGTTTCGTGATTTGACCGCTTGGTACCTGAATTTTTTTTTTTTTTTTTAACTTGGACAGTCCCCATGGTATGTTTTTGTTGTGGTTTTGGTCCCTACCAGACGTAAAAAGACTGTTTTGCCGTTGATAATTGGTGAGGGTGTTTTAATTTCATTTTCTTTTTCTTTCTAAATTTAAAAATGATAAACGAATAAAAGAAAATTATGAAAGAAATTATTAAGGGCAAAATAGTCTTTTTACGTTTGGTAGGGACCAAAGACAACAAAAACATAACTATCCGGGTTGAAAAAAAAAAAGTTAG